GTGTGTGTCTGTATGATGTGTGTACATATATGTATATGTGTGTATGTGTATGCATGTGTGTGTGTGGTGTGGTGTGTGGTATATGTATGTGTATGTATATATGTATATGTGTGTGTGTACTTATGTAAGTGTATGTGTGTGTCTATATATGTATGTATGTGTGTGCATGTGTGTGTACGTATATGTACGTGAATATGTGTATGTGTATATGTATGTTTGTATGTGTGTGTTTGTATATGTATATGCATGTATTTGTGTACGTATGTGTGTGTGACATAAGCAAAGAAGCAGGGAAGGGAAGATAGCATCCTTTGCATATTCAACAGTTGCTCCCCAACCCCCAAAACTCTGGGAAAAAAAACCCAGATTCCCTTAGCAACAATCAGTTCCCCAGCTCCATGTGTGAGTCATGAGCTCCCCGCTGGGGCTCAGGCTAAAGTAGGGAGCAAATGCCACAGGTGCTCCGAAGCCAGTCTTTCCTCCGACACCCGGGCCTTCGTTGACTGTGTGACCTCTGCTCTGAAAACGGCAGCTTGCTGGCCTGTCCATGAGCTCTTCTTTTCCTCTGTAGGGAAGGCTGCGCCTCAGGCCATGTGGTCATCTTGAAGTGCTCAGGTAAGCATCTGAATACATGTTGAGCTACATGGAAGACTGCACTGGTAGAGTCATAGCCCCCTATTGGGGACAGCTCAAGACCCCTTCTCCTGGATGCTAGTGTGGGGCTAGGCACCAGGAGGTCATTACCAACAGGGACACTGTTGATGGACAGGGTGACCATGTATGCTCTCTGCTTCCCACAACCCCCCGCCCTCCGTCTTCTGTCTGCCTGACCCTCTCATTACCCCAGCTCCAGCTTTGGCAGTATTGTGAGCTCTGGGTAGGGGACAGGGATTTTTCTGGGTAGAAGGTTTGGGATGCTGATATTTCCCCCAGAAAAGGTTTACCCATAACCCCTTGTTCTTCCATAGCCTGTGGCATGAGAACCGGCTACAGTCCCCGCATTGTGGGTGGGAACGTGTCCTCGCTCACTCAGTGGCCCTGGCAGGTCAGCCTCCAGTTCCAGGGGTACCACCTGTGCGGGGGCTCCGTCATCACCCCTCTGTGGATCGTCACTGCCGCGCACTGTGTTTACGAGTGAGTGCCTGGGCCTGCTGCTGTGGCTTCTGATCTTCCCTGAGCCTTGTCTAGTCCTGGGTCTGATAGAGATGGGGTGATCTGGAGGTGAGGACAAGTCAGCAAGCCACGTGCAGGTGTGCAGCCCACCTGCCTTCCAGTGGACCCGTCTCTGTGTCTGAGTGTGACGTGAGCCAAGCTGCACAGGAAAGGTAGAGACAGGAGGAGTAGCTCACGGCAGAATGAGACCCATTGAAATAAGGGTCCTCGGCTTCCTGTAGCTCACTTCTCTCATCCATGGTATAGACAGTAGGGTACTGTGGGTGGAAGTACAGGGCACCCAGAGAACACTGAGCCCCCATGAAGCTGTCTGTCATGAGTTTAGAAGTCACAGAAAACATCTTAGACCAGTAGCGGCTTCTCTTTTTATCTCCCGGTTTGGTGACTGTCCAATGGAGAAAGGCCTCTGCAGAGAGCAAAGCTTAGCACTGCTCTCAAACGCGTATCTCTTGGGTATCTCGAAGAGAATGGCCTGTCTGGGATGTACATGAGTGTAATCTGTGTTCCTGCAGGACTTGGGGAGTGTGGTCTTTGTAGGGCACAGATGTGTAGGGCATTGGGCTATCTCCCACCTGGCGACATCTCTGTTTCCCTTGGGCTCTTGGGACCCACCAGAGCTTACCAGGGCTGGATCCCTCCTGAGACTCACCTCTCGGTCTGTTCATTTCAGCCTGTACCTCCCCAAGTCCTGGACTGTCCAGGTGGGTCTTGTGTCACTGGTGGACAGTCCTGTGCCCTCCCACCTGGTGGAGAAAATCATCTACCACAGCAAGTACAAACCAAAGCGGCTGGGCAATGACATCGCCCTCATGAAGCTGTCTGAGCCACTCACCTTTGACGGTACTTGTAGGCCTCTGCACCCGGCATTTGCTTTTTAGCTTCTTTCAAGAGCTTGCCTGTTGTAGTGGGGGTATAATGGCTGCTTTACTACCCTTGCTTGGAAATTTCAAAATTGGATTCAGCTGGGTGTCGACGTAGGCGCATTGCATTTGCTCGTTAAGGGTGTGTGGGCGCATGCACTCGAGTGCACACGTGCGCACATATGTGTGTATGCACATAGAGGCAAGAGGTCTATCTTGAATGTCATTCCTTAGGGACAGTCCACTTTGTTTTTTGGGGGGCAGAGTCTCTCACTGATCTAGAGTTGTCTAATAGGCCGACTGACCAAGAAACCCCAGGTTGCCCTTCTGTCTCTACCTCCTTAGTACTGGGTAACAGGCTCAATGCCACTACAGCTGGCTTTTTACATGGGTGTCACAGATCAAACTCAGGAGTTGATTCGTGTGCAGCAAGCACTTTGCCAGCCGAGCTATCTTCCCAGCCCAAATTAGGTGTTTTCAGACTGAGCATGTTAGGAGATGGGGCCCTTGCTCAAGATTTCAGCCTGTTACCTTCTTTAGGTTTGGCTGTGGATCTTGGCCACACCCTCTAGTGCCAGTTCAATCTCACAGGCTTTCAGTTCTGCTCTGGGCTCTCCTTCCGGTGCCAGCTGCAGATGGAAGAGCTTCTCTAAAGCCAGGCCACCTGATGCCTCTAGGTGGTGGAAGAGAGTCACCAGAGCAGATAGCACTTTGCTGTCCTGGTTTTTGCTGCTTGGAGCCTCTTGTAGGGTATCCCCAGTGGAAAGAGCAGAGTCTCAAGCTGGGGCAGCTTGACGGTTTGCAAAGAGCCTCTTTCTTCCTCACCATCTGGAAGGTTCTAGGCATCCTCAGCTCCCTGGACGGTTCTTAGAACTGACCTCTCTCTCTCTCTCTCTCTCTCCTCTTCTCTCCCGTTCTTCTTACCAAGCTCTGCCCTCTGGCTGATACTAGAACCTTCCCACCCCACCCCCCACCGCCCCAGTCAGCCCGGCTAGAACTCTCAAAATTCACAAAGCACAAAGCAGGAAGAATGTTGGCTTAAGTAAAAGTCCTGACCTCCCAAGGATAAGCACTCCGGAGGGCAGGCAGGGCTGTTTCCAAGGTAGACCCCCATTCTCTGAAGCAAACCTGTGTGATTTCAAAGCTGCTTGGGTGGGGGTGGGGGCTGCTACTTGCTGCTACTGTTGGTGATGCTTGATTCTAGAAAAAGAGTTGTCTGTAGTGTACTTGGCTGAAGAGTTAAATGTGTCTCTGCCCTTCTCCACTTTTCCATGATTGCCATGCAGGATGGGGAGGTGGTGTATCTCACACAGAAGCCCTGGGCATGTGCAGTTGTGTGGCTTTACTAGGGTATCAGTGGCACAGCTGAGATACAGACCGGCTGTCACCACAAACACGTAACGTCCGGTCCAGGAGTGACCAACTGTGGCCCAAGGGCTAGCCACGTGTGACCCAATGCACATTGGAGCAAGTAAAAATCTTGTCATAAATCCATTAGCGTCTTTCATGTATATCTCCTGTGATTCCAGCAACTGTGATGAGGTCCACATAGCCCACAAGCCTGAACTGTCTACTGTCCCAATGCTCAGCCTTTTACAGTCAGGTTTTGTTGCTGGGCTCTGGACTCCTGTCACATCCTAGGGCAACAGCTGAGAGATGAGTGGGCATGGCTTCTGCCCTGAGTTAGCTCAGTGACCAAGACCTAACCTCTCCCTAGGGGGTGGGTTCTGAGACCTGAACAAAAGGTCAGTTGATTTCTGGGACAGTGGCTTCAGGGACTTCACCTCATTGTGTTCCTTCTCACAGAGACCATTCAGCCTATCTGTCTGCCCAACTCTGAAGAGAACTTTCCCGACGGGAAACTGTGCTGGACCTCAGGATGGGGAGCCACAGAAGATGGAGGTCAGTGGTCTGAAGCCAGAGGCTGGGAGGGCCCCGCAGGATGCTTGGAAGTCCCAGCTTAGCAGTCTGCTGGGTAGCTGTGGGCCACCACGGTGTCACACTCCTCGTTGGATAGTTGTGAAGTTTTGAGGCATCCTGGAGAAATGAACTATGGAGGAGTAGTGTTGGTTCTTCTCCATGGCGAGACCTCCACGCACCCCTTCTTCATGCCCCTTCTCATTGTACTGAAGCAAGTGTCTGAAACACACCTTGATGAGCCCTTAAGCTTGTACCAACAGGCAGGTACAAGATGAAGAACTCTCACTTGAGAAAGCTGGCACACCGTGTTATTTCTCCTATGGGCTTGCCATAGAAGGCATTACCCAGGAACCTCCACTGCTTTGGTAGTAATAATACTGTCAGTGATGGTCACGTACTTGCCAGGGACATCTGTGTCCCTTATATCAAGGAACAGTGCCTATACGGTCTCTCCAACAGTGGCATTCCTTTGTGCATTTTCTAGGCACAGGCCAGCCTGCTGTCACTAGCAAACTACGGTGGTCTGGATGGCTCAAAAAGTTCAAAAGGGCAGACTTGAGTCCTCTCATATTTCTGAAGTCTGAAGTCAAGATGTCCGCGGGCCTCAGCTGGGGTCTGTCCCAGCATCTCTCCAGTGTCTGCTGGCTCTAGCAATCCTCAGTGTTCCTTGGCTGGCTGATGTGTCAACCCAGTCCCAATGTCTAGGTCGTTGTTTGTTTTTTGATATTTTTGTTTTTTGTTTTTTTTTTTCCCTACTGTGAGTTCTAGGTATCGAACCTGCCACATTCCAGGTTGATCCGTCTCCTCAGTCCCTTGACCCCTGACCCCATGACATCAGTTGTCAGATCTAGAGCCTCCCTGAATACAAGATGACCCGGCCTCCAGATCATACTTGATCAGACTTAAACATCTTCTGCTTTAAACAAGGTCACCTGCCTTGGTTACAGGCAGATAAATACGAAAGGGATTATAATTCAACTCACGAAGGAAACCTAGTGTTTTCCTTTGGAGGTATATTCATGCAGGGTCTCACTATAGCCCCAGGCTGACCTGGAACTCATTCTGTAGCCCAGGCTGGCCACAAACTTCACAGCAAGCTGTCTCAGTCTCTCAGACTCTAGGATTCAGTGACTATTTTGTTTATTACCTTCCGGTTATAGGTCAGAAGTCACCAGCCAGCCTTAGGGGTCACTGGTATTGTAGGCTAGCTCCTCAGTTGGCTCCGGGGATGATGACAGCTGTTGTCCCTTTACCTTCGCTCTGACACTCCCGGGCTCATGGCCTCGTCCTCATCTTCAAAGCCCACAGGCTGATCCGACTCTAAGTTTCTCTGACATCACCTTCTTCAAGTCCTTGATACGTCTTTGTAATTTTAATGAGTTTACCAGCATCATCTGGGCTATCTCAGAACCAGACCCTTGAATACCTTCGAGGTTCCCTAGTTAATGGCACGACCACAGGTTCAGGGCCCACACCTGTATTTGGAGGGACACATTACTGTTGACTGAATTCAGCTCTGTCCAGATGTGGGTGGCCTTCAGGGCCTCAATTCCCCTTTTGTAATGTGGACTGACTGTCGTGGGTCGAGGGATTGGTTGACAGCACACTCAGCGGGGACACTCTGGGTGACATGGGCTCTGTGACAGTCTGCTGTCCCAGCTACAGTAGACCTGGTCTTTGCTGTGACTGTTTCATGTCAGGTGGCATGTCCCATGTCCCCTGGTTCTCCTGTTTCTGTTCTCTAAGCCGGACTCCCTCTCACTACGAATTTCTCTCATTACTTTGAGGCAGGTGACGCCTCTCCTGTCCTGAACCATGCGGCTGTCCCTTTAATTTCAAACAAGATTTGCAACCACAGGGACGTGTATGGTGGTATCATCTCTCCCTCCATGCTTTGTGCAGGCTATCTGAAGGGCGGTGTGGACAGCTGCCAGGTAAAGGACTTCCAGTAACCCTCGGGGCCACGGCAGCAGGCAAGGGTCCAGTTTAGTGACCCAGCCCATGGGACAGGCCCCTGCCAGCTTCCCCGTGACGAAACAAAAAGCAAATTTACATGGCACAAGGAAGAGATTTGCTTAAGATATCCCCCTGGCTTTCTTGGTGGCCCAGCCTGTGTTTACCTAGGTTCTCAGTCTTTCAGGGCACACGGGGTGTGGCCTCTCCTCATCCTCTCCAGCCTGATTCTGAGTGTGAAAGGGGGGTGTGAGCTGATGGAGCTGGGCTTGCAAAAGCCACAGTGAGTGAGACTAAGTACTACCCGTGGACACAGTGAGTTAGGTCTGGCTTAGGCAGATGCCCTCTCTTCCAGCTCCATGGGCTACCCAGGTCACCAATGATCTTTACAGTTTAGTGTTTGGGACCTGGAGGGAGACACAGCTGGAGGGAAACTTTCCCACACAGTCAAGGAGCTGGCTCTTGAGAGCAGCCAAGTCCATTCTAGAAGTGTTAGGGGAGAGACGTGCACACGGTTCACCCAAAATGTGACAGGGAACGTCTGGGCCACCAGGACAGTATAGCTGCTCCAGCCTTTTGACCTTTGCCTCCTTTGGCTCCACAGGGGGACAGCGGAGGACCCCTGGTGTGCCAGGAGAGGAGACTGTGGAAGTTAGTGGGCGCCACGAGCTTTGGCATTGGCTGTGCTGAGGTGAACAAGCCCGGAGTCTACACACGCATCACCTTTTTCCTGGACTGGATTCATGAACAGTTGGAGGTGGGTGGAGTGGCCCAGTTGGGGGTGGGTGTGACTCTCCAGCTCGTGTGTTCTCTGCACCCAGTGTGACCACAGCTCTGCCACAGGGAGCCGAGGAGAGATAGAAGGGACGCTGATTGGAGAGGATGTTGACTCTGCAGTGATTTGGAGGTTCTGGGTATCAGCCCTAGAACACAGCTAATCCCACGGGTGTGATCCAGGCATACAGGGGAGGGACTGGAGCAATGGCTCTGCTTGACTCAACAGGGACAAAGGTGACCGGTGGATGACTGGGACGTTGATTCCTTGCTGAGAGCCAGCTCTGGTTTGCTTCAGGGCGGGGCAGGGGGGGGGGAATCAGGACAGATCTACAGAGGCTCCTGGTCAGAGAGAGGGAGACAGGGAGACCCTGAGCCACCAGGGAACTGAGAGGCACTGGGCATCAGGCAAAGAGATGTTCTGATAGACACAGGCCTCGCTGTGTTGAGAGTCAGATGTTCATAATCCCGTCTCTCCTGAGAGGGGAAGGGATATAGGGACGCAAGGCCCGGCCACACACCAGGCACTAGGCAAACATTTCCTAACTTTATCTCAGGCAGGTTTTACATCATCCCCTAGTTCAGTTTCAAAGACATTTTCTCCTGACATAATAGGAGGGAAATTTATGTAATATGGGCAAATGTTTAAAAGACAACAATCCCGTTTCATTTGGCACACGTGTGCAGCTATGGCCTCTGCTTAGTTCTCAAAATCCTAAATATCCAACACGTGTCCCTTCCTGCCCTCCAGTCTTCAGTGATTGGCTGTGGGGGTCCAAAACCTTTATAAGCTGTGTGTGTTCATGTGTGTGTCTGTGTGTACATGGTGTGTGTGTGTGCATGTGTATGTGTGCATGTATATGTGTATGTGTGGGAACAGTGTGTTTGTGTGT